GGCTGAGGCAGAAGGATTGCTTGAGCCCAGGAGTTTGAGGTTGCTGTGAGCTAGGCTGACGCCACGGCACTCACTCTAGCCTGGGCAAAAGAGTGAGACTCTGTCTCAAAAAAAAAAAAAAAAAATTTAACGTATTATATTTATGCTATGTATAAATTTCTGAAACCCCTAGAGGAAATATTACATAGTTAACTTTTCATTGTTTTACATAACACTGATAATCACTGAAATAAAATATTTTTTATTCCTAGATTGATGAACATAGGATATGTGTTTGTGTAAGAAAACGACCACTCAATAAAAAAGGTATGATGCTTAATGAGCTCTAATAAAAGGTTGATTTTATTTTATTTGTAATGTGTTTTAATAACAGCACAAATCAAATCAGTATGGAAAAATGTAAATCATTCCCTTTAATTTGTATATACCCATTATGCAGATTTCTATGGCTAGACTTGTTGGTTTGTTATTGCTATATGAATCATTGCCATTCCTGGTTCTTGCTTCACAGAAATCTTGATTTTTTTTTTTTAACTTTGTTCTTAAAATATTTTGTCTTATTGAGTGGCATGTTTATGGAATATTATCTTCATATTTGCAAAACTTACTACTTTTATATAAATTCTTACTACTTGAAATAATTTTTGTACATAAATTTGAATGCTGTGAAAATTACTGGGCATTGATTTTCATTTATTCTTTTAGAAACTCAAATGAAAGATCTTGATGTAATCACAATCCCTAGTAAAGATGTTGTGATGGTACATGAACCAAAACAAAAAGTAGATTTAACAAGGTACCTAGAAAACCAAACATTTCGTTTTGATTATGCCTTTGATGACTCAGCTCCTAATGAAATGGTTTACAGGTAGGTAAATTCTTTTTAAGTCAGAATTTTGTTTTTATGCCGTGTTCTTCACCACTCCGAAACTTACTTTGATCTTATAATATTTCTCCAGAGATGCGATACCCTTTTTCATTCTGAGTTTAGACAAAGAAAATGTCACACGTTATAATGAATATTAACACTTGTTCTCGTTAATGTTCTCCAAAATTGTAGTTTTCATTGCTACTTGCTAATTAGCTTATTATATACATATCACACACAAACTATATATGTAGATAAGAAATTTCTAGAAAACGTTAACCTCTAGGAATGGAATGTGATGAGAAGAGGACTTTTAATTTTGTCTAAATCTTTATTTAGCATGTACCACCACTTAATATGAAAAAGTTCTGTAAATCTACTTGCATTTGCCTAATTTCATCATCTTTAGGCTTGGAGATAGTTTGAGTACATGAGTTTCTTGTATGTTTATATATTCATCTCATAAACAATTCAAATTGACATATGTTGTACATCGATATCCCAAATCTTTGTGCCAAACTTAAGTTTTCATCAGTTTTCAAACATTCATTTCTAATAATTATAGCAGATAGTTTTAGCAGCATTGCTATTTTAGTCTATATTGACTGTCTTTTGTCATTACTTCAATGCTATGTTTCGTTGCCCTTTAGTTTTATAAAAATGACTGGAAAAGAGAAAATTAGAGTTAATAAGACTCTTAAGAATTAAAGGTGTTAACAAATGAAATACTGTTGAGATCAACTTCATTTGTCTTAAGCCAATAAACTGAAAGTTCAGTTGTAAAAGAAAAAGGATAAAATTAAAGAATATATGAATGCTAGATAGAGAGATTGTGAAGAATGTGTTTGAAAGGAAATTATAATTGTAAATTGGCCAAGCACCCAATTATTATTAATGTTAAGAGACAGGGTCTCGCTCTGTTGCCCAGGCCGGAGTGCAGGAGTGCAGTGGCACAATCATAACTCACTGCAGCCTTGAACTCCTGAGCTCAAATGATCCTCCTGCCTCAGCCTTCCGAGTAGCTGGGACTACAGGCACACACCACCACATCTGGATAATTTTTCTTCTTTTGTAGAGATAGGGTCTCTTGATAATTGCCTAGACTGGTCTCCAACTCCTGGCCTCAAGTGCTGGGGTTTACTAGCATGAGCCACCGCGCCTGGTCTATAGATTCATTTCTACTTCTGTTTGACTAGAAATTTTTTCTGCTGCTTTTGTTCCATGCCTTCTTCAGTTTTGCCTTAAAAAAAAAAAAAAAGAGTTGTATAAAGTATTCTACTTGTAGATTTGTTTTTTTATTGTACTTTTTAATACTCGTGTGTACTTTTCAATACTTTGCTCAGTGAAGAAGTGTTTCTTATCCCTTCTTGACCTTTTTATTTTAACTCTAGCTATGGATTATACTGATATGTCTAAAAAATAATCCAAGCCATAATATTTAGACATCCTTTTCCTGAAGCAAGACTATCAACTCAGAATTCAACGTCTTATAAGCACAATTTTTACAGTTTTCCCTTAAGTGTAAATTACTTGTCTACATTCAGAGTAATCATCATTTTTCCACTTATTTAGGTGGTCTGAAGATAACTTTTTGCAATTTTTTTCTCTTTTTCTATTGAAATTACCACTTTTTTATTCTATTTCTTTTGAAATTGTAATCGATAGTTCTCGTCTGTTTTCATTACATATGCCGTATTATGTCATTATTTATTATGGAATTATTGATTGAAGTTATGCTTTAAGTAGTTTTAAGTAATTCTAGGATATGGTTATTTAAAATTTTTAGCAATGAGTTGTTTAAAATCTTGTTATAAGTTTTATTCATACTTTGTATTACTTGGTATTACTTTTGTTATTTAAATATTGGCAACACATTCTGACTGATGCATTTTCTTTTTAAGGTTTACTGCTAGACCACTAGTGGAAACTATATTTGAAAGGGGAATGGCTACATGCTTTGCTTATGGGCAGACTGGAAGTGGAAAAACTCATGTAAGTAATTCATTAAAGTTACATCCTGGTATGAAGTTACACTTTCTTTTCCTTATAACTTAATTCTGAGACTTAAATCCTTAAGAGTTATTCCTGAATAATATCTATTCTTTATCTTCTTTTTAAAATACAGACGATGGGTGGTGACTTTTCAGGAAAGAACCAAGATTGTTCTAAAGGAATTTATGCATTAGCAGGTAATGGTCCTTTTCACATATAATTTGGAATATTCATAGATATTATTCAGGTCGCTTTGAAATAAGGCTTGACAATATCATTCAGCAACTGTAATGCTTTAGTTACTATATATTATAACAGTTACAGGTTATTAGATTTCTTGAAATGAACTGTAGGATTTAGTTTTGGGGGACAGAAATCTTGATTTTATTTGTATAGGTAGACTCTAGCATGTTGTTGGAGGTTAGTATTAATTGTTACACAGCTGAATTGTAAAAAGCTGTTTGATATGGAATGAGAATAACCTTATTTTGACCATCTATGATTTCATGCTATTTGTAAGGAGAAGTAGTAGCATCCTTTCATGGAATATGGAAGGAGAGTAGCTTCTATTACTATGATTTTTTTGTAAAATTAAATTCACTTTAGTCTTCATTTTTATTGTTGATATTATTATACTAGGTAACGATTTACTGATTCTTCTAAAAATAGAAAATTTGAGTTGCTTTTTAAAAATAATATTTGTTACGTCTAATTTTCTGTATGTGAAATTCTTGGTAGCTCGAGATGTCTTTTTAATGCTAAAGAAGCCAAACTATAAGAAGCTGGAACTTCAAGTATATGCAACCTTTTTTGAAATTTATAGTGGAAAGGTAAGTGGGAACTTGTTTTTAATTTTTATTTTTTAAAATTTGGTAAAATGTACATAATATAAGTTTTAACATTTTAACTATAAGTTCAGTGGCATTAAGTACATTCATATTATTGTGCAAC